ACTAGGGAGTCATATCTGAAGGCCCTTCTCTTGCTTGCAGGCCCCTTATTTGACCACACAAAAATGGCAATCATCCTTGAGGACTGGGGAGTGTGATGTTGGGTGAACAGCAATCTGCTTGCCGTCAGGTAGTTTTAGGTTTATAGTTCAGGTAGCAGCTGGTACTATGTCCCAGGTTTTCCTTGTCACAGTGTTTCTACTGGCTCTGCAGGCATTACTTGCTGCCTACATGCAGCAGTGGCTCTAATAATGTTTTTCCTGCTCAGGAGTATCATAGAGTCAAGTTCAGTAGCTGTGGGATGTGAAGGCCTCGGTGTGCAATCTGGAATTGCCACAGAGCTGTTTGGTGATACTGAAAGGATGCAGCCCCCTGGCTGCCTGATCTTGCATCTCTCTCTGTGCCAGTATTCATGTCTGTCTCACCCTACAGAGAAGCAAAAACAGTTCTGTGAGGTAAACCACTAAAAAACCACAAGTTCTTCAGCAGAATTGGCTTTTTGGTGCTTTACCTTTCAGGGCCGGTCACAGCGGAGTCAGGGGAGTGTCAGGGAAAGAGGCTGTAGCAACAATTAGCCAGTGCCTTGATTTTGTCGTGTCATCAGGGGATGCTTTGGCATGAGGCACTTATGAGTTATTCTACTTCCATCTTACTTTAATTGCATTTGCTTGGTCATCAGAGACAAGCTGCTGCCTGCCAGGCACAGTCACCATATAAAACCAAGCAGATGTGCCTGTTCCTTATATAGAGGGAAGACCAGATGAGTCATCTATAGTATTGGATACATCTTGCCATCAGTGCTGTTGTGTTTTGCATCAAGTTCCAGTCTCTGATAGCAGGAGAGATTGGGGACACCCCTCTTGTCTTACTGGGAGCCCTCCCAATAAATCAGTGTAGCTGTACTATCATTTAGCCCCCTACGGGTTGCGCTTCCTGTGCTTATTGAAATGTACTCTGGCTTTGAGATCCCTTTCTCTGCTCTCACTGGGAGGTGTTTTTTGTTTTGGGTTTGGTTTTTGTTTGTTTGTTTTTTCACAGGCACTCCCACCCAAACGAAGGTAAAACCTTGCCTTGCTGGGTCACTCAGGTTCCAGAACAGATTCACAAAATTTACTCTGGGTGGTGTTTTCACCGGTGTTATGTTACCAACTCACTTATTTGCTTATACCTCACTTCTTTCAATGTCTCTACTGGCTTTACTGGCTTTTACAATTGTTTTAAACTGAGGCTGGAACTCTGCCTGATAGTTTAAATGAGGTCTGGTAGAACTTCAGATTGTGGCATTGTGAACTAACTGCTCCTCGGCAAGAGAGGGATTAGGCACAATCATGTTGATATTTTGGTTTTTTCTGTTGAAAAGGAAAATGTTCACACTGTTTCGTATAATTGCACAAAACCTCCCATCTATGCAAGATCCATGGGTTAACATCTCCCAGTCTTGAATGTGTTCAGCCTTGCAGTGGCTCTGTCAAATAGAAAAGCACTTCTTCCATTTTCACAGAAGAACAACCCTTGAAGAAATTTAGATATCAACTTCACTGTGATTTCAAGGCAGAGGTGAGAATTTATGCTTTAGTTTCAAGTGACCTATTTCTTGGCCCCTAAGAAACCTGTTCCAGAGTGGCAAAATAAATAGAAATACCCTGAATCCGTGTGTAGTGGTCTGCTGTTGGATCATCTTCCCTCTCCAGTGTGCCTCTGGATTTTGAAAACAGAGAGAGAGGAAGAACCATCTAGATTAGGGGAAGGAAAAATCATTACACATTGGCCTATTAGACGTTTAATCATGAGTGTGCTCTGATACACTATATCTCTTCACTTGTTAATGCTGCTGGATGCCTGGTGAGGTGGACAGACCTGTAGAAGAGGATAGTGTCTTCTGTGCCTTCATCTCTGTTCCACAAGATCTGCATTGAGCTTGTAGGCAGCAGTGATGCTGGTGATGATTTTTTGCTCCATTCCTGACCAGGCATCATTCTGACTCCTGTATTCCCTGTGGGCTCCTCATATCTGAACGTCCTTCCAAAAAGCTGCTCCTTTTCTAGTCATGTGCCAGAATTTGCTTGAGCTGTGAGGTTTGAAACAGTGTTTAGACTTACATTTTATACAGTTCCCAGCCCTGTTGTAGAATGAGCCTGGAAGCCTTTCTACAAAGAGGCAGTAATAGGAAACTGCTATTCAAAAGCTGTTTGTGGCAAAGAGCTGTATCAGTTTGCTAGCTGATCTGTCCCTAGCATCTGTCACTTTTGTCTGCTTGTCCTTTCCAGCAGCTTTCCACAGTCAAATTCTGCCTTCTCTTTTATTTTAAATATTGATGAGGGGTTTGTGCAGTCTGCTTCTTGCAAGCTAAAAGCTGTGAGGTACAAAACCTGCTCTTTCATTTAAAGAAGACCCAAGTGCTAAGCTCTAGAAAAAAAGGTTGGTAAACTTTTCCTGGCAGGGTGCTGAGTAAGATGCTCCTGTACTGTTTTTGAGGAAAGGAAAGATACCACTCTGACTACACACTGTAGCTCTGTTTCTGATTTTGACAGCTTTTCTTTACCCTGGTTTATCTGTAAATCCTCCTGCTCCCCTTTGTGCCCCACAGTGATCCTGGCATCTTTCCTTGCTCTGCCACAGTCGTTGCATTGCCTGGTGTTCCCACCAGAATGAAGCCCTTCCCCACTCTGTTCCCTGGGGATCTTGGCTTGGCACAGTGGAGCCCAGCATCCTGGCACCACATGGTGTTACCCCAGCAGTAAACTGGGAAGCCACATGATGCTCTGGGGGTTGGGCAGGCCCTTCCTTACCCATGTCAACAAGCTGAGTTGGGCAGCCCTGGGATGCAGTTGGCTCAGCCTGGAGCCTCACACTGGTCCAGTTATGGCTTGAGGCAGCTCTGGGGTCAGTCTGTTGGGCAGGGTCTGTATCAATGGGCTACATGGCATGATATTGGCATGGCTGCAGTGTCAGGGGTGAGGGCCTCAGCTTAAAAGCCCTCTGTGTTTCTCAGCTCCTTCCTGGTTCCCTGCCCGCAACCTGGCTGCCTTGTACAGTGCTTTTCTCCTCTGTTGAGCAATTCCATCTTCTGTCCTGCCTGACAGGGGTTCAGGGTTGGTGATGCTTGTTGTCACCATCCCTAGTTCTCAAAGCTGTCCCATGTAGCTGCTGCTCCTCAGTATCTCCTGTGCTAAACTCAAGGGTCTTGGTAGGTTGGGAAGGAAGGTGTGTAGCAGAGCAGCGTGGGGAAGGATACACCCCACATGAAGAAGTGAAGGGGCTATGGCCCACTGTGAAGGCCTGACAGAGGTTTAAAAAAAATAAAATTAAAAGGGGTGTGCTTTGAATTACCACAGGCTTTTTGGGTTGGGAGACAGGTTACAGCTCCTAAATCACTGGAGTGCTGCACTGGCAGCACTGGCAGTGCTGGCCAGCTGTACAATGCCTAGTGCTGGGGGCTGCACAGTGTGCCAGGTGCAAGGAAATGTCACTTTATTAATGAAATGGACATAGAAATCTCAGGAAGAAACCAGGCAGTAGGGTTTTATTCATGCTCATGGAGCTTCACTGAGACATACTCCAGATCACATGAGATCCTTGCAAGGACACGCATGGAGTCTTGTATTTCAATAAATAGTCTGAAGACTAGTGACAGCTTTTTGTGAAGTTAAGGAAAAAACGTTGACCTCCCTGAGACTTTTTTTGGGTAACCTGAGGTGTCCCCGAGTGAGCAAGGGGTGTGTGGGGGGGTAAGGAGCAGGTATCCACCAGAGGGCCCCCTCTCCCCACACCTTGGTGGCCTTGCTGCAGAGGTTCTGCTGCCACCCGTAGAGAACCCTGGGAGCCTTTGGGAAAGCTGCCAGCCAGAAATGCCCGCTTCCACTTCAGCTCTGTATTTGTCTGAGCAGACAGTCATGACTTCAGTACCCGCTTTTGATCCAGTAGTTTAATTCTCTATGCAGATGCTGTGTGGAGAGTGAATAGCGTTGAATTTTAAAAGGAGTTTGGTCAGGGAGGTTACATAAGGTCCTGATAGGCAGTGGTTTAGCTAAGTGCAAACAGCATGTGATCATGAGGTGTGCAGAAGTGAACAGAACCAAATGCTTTATCTCTTGGTGTTTCGTATGGGCAGTATTGGGGGAAGCTTTACTAAGCAAGAAACTTGACCTTAGGTTCAGGTTGTATAAAAAGCCCAGGTATTTTCAATGTGTTAACTATGGTACCTGGTGTACCCATTGGAAAGGCCACCATGTTTCCTCCTGAGGCTGGGATCATGTCAGTGGCTTTATACAAACTGACCTGCATGTGCTTCCACACAAGCTGTGGCTTGGGGGATGAACTGAAAAGCACAGCTCCAAACATGAGTCCTTTGTCCACCTTTTTGCTGCAGGCTGCCTTATTCCAAGTACTTCTGGAGACCATTCTTGACCATACCTCTCCACAGGACACAGTAACAATTCAGAGGATTGTGCCCCACTTGCTCTTCCTGGCAAATGTGCTAAACTTAAGAGTGAAGGGATGAAAGCTGAAGGGACAGTGCAGAGCAGTGTTGTGTGTGGACTTTGGACTGAAAGGTGCTGCACACTTTGCTTTGGCAATGCCTGTAGTCTGTAGATTTGTTTTTTTTCCTAATTTGTTCTTGGTGAAAGCTTTGCAAGATTTAATTTTCCATTGTGCTTGAAAGGAAGGAAATACAGACCTGTAGCTGTTCTGAATCACAGTCACTGGGAGCTGATGTATGTAAACTTTCAGTAGCTTTTGGGGTTATTTTGTTTTTGTTATTCTTAAGGGTGCCTTAACATCAAGTGTATTTGCACTAAATGTTACTTAAAAGTCGACCTTGAAAATTCTCCTTTGATACTAGTTTGAGATTGTAAGGTTTTGTGTATTTTCTTGTGACTTATCTTTCCAGTGGCTTTTAGAGGAAAAGCGATAGGTGCACCCCCCAAAAAAAACTCTTTCATGGCTTTCCAAGAAAAACAAAAGCAAGGGCTAAAACCTGTCCGTAGAGAGGAATGGAACT